AACCCTTAGCAAGAACTCAAATAATGTACTTAGTGTTTTATATATATACACACATCCATATATATGTGTGTGTATATACATATATATGCTTGCCATACCCTCATACCTTTCCAGTTCTATCTCTTTATTCTGTTTGCTTCCACTCATACCAAATGGTAGCCAAATACACACCTTCAAGAAAGTAAACTAATTTGACTGTTTAGGTTTCAGTCAGTAAGATAAAGCTATTAAAAATGAGGTAATAAGTGAATCGAAGATACTTAAGTACTCTCATGTTTTCAAGGCTACATATGACATTTGCAGGCAGCTTTCATTTCTGTTTCAGTTTGTTGGGGGAAAGCATTCATTCCCCTGCACTTAACACTGCAGGTGTTAAGAATTTCAACCGTTATTACAAAGTTATTATTTTAGTATGTATTTTTGAGTCCAGTCATGCCGAGTGGTACTTATCTTTTGTAATGCAAGTGAGCTGATTGAAGAAACTGAAAACAGATTCCCTTTACAAATCCGTGAAATAACTGGGAACAGGACTATATCTATCTCAGGTTATCATAGCAACATTTCATTTATGGAATCAAAATCTTGCAGGGTGCATTCAAAATCCACAGGATGTCTTGAGTGCTAAAGTTCTCAAGAGGATCTGTACATTAGCAAATAAATAGGCAATGTAAGAATACAAGTTTGGCCACAGATGTAGCAGCTAGTAATGCATAAAGACTAAGGCTAGTTCATCTAATAGTAAGAGGAGAAACTGATTTGGCTTTAAAAACTTTCAGACAACAGTAGTTTGTTCATCACTGTACCAAAAGAAATTAAAAAAAACCCTAAAGAGGTGGGGGCAATTCTGTGATGTAACTGCAACCTTCTAATATATACAAAATTAAGCTGAGAGACATGAGGGATCAGATGGCAATTTTCTAACATAACTGGAGCCTACCAGAATTCAAGTCACATAATTTCTGCTGCAAATAAATATTATTTTCATAAGTATTTACACTATAGTATCTACTGTATGCTTCTACAAACCAAAATAAACAGCATCAGCTTCACAATAACGACCCCAAATCTCCTCACCAGCCTTTCCCATAAAAAGGCTCAGCTTACTGTGGATACCTCAAGTGTCCAAACCCTGGCTGCGGAAGTGGGTGTAACTGGTGTAACAGGCAGGAAGATACAACTGGTATAACAGACAATTCATAAAAATTTGTAAAAGATGTACTTAGCTAAGCAGAGAAGGAACATCCTTCCTACCCACCACAACGTACACACTTCACACATCCCTGGAATCAGGAACAAAACACCCTTACAAAAAAAGGCATTTCCAAAAAAAAAAAAAGTGCGAGTGTCTGCTGTTGTCAGAAGTGCAGTCAGAGGTAGGTCCGAGGTATTGCTGAAGAAGGCTGAGTAGCAGCACCAAGAACTATACACAGATGAATGAACTTACACAAAAACCACACTAAAATCAGACTGTGTTGCGAAGTACACCAGTTTTTCTGTTCTTTACCGGAATTTCTCTCAGTACCAATTTGTTCTGTTCTCCCGTACTTTCATTTCACTGAGAAAGTATTGGTTGATTACCAAGAGAAAACAGCCAAAACATAAAGGAAGTTCTGTTTCCTGTTTCTGTTACCTTCTCTCTCCTCCCAAAGAGGTAACTATTATATAGCAGCATAAAAACATCAAATACCTTTCTTTTTTCTTTTTTTTTACTTTCTTTGGGATTTATCACAAGTGTTCAGTCGTACAGAAGGCAGTTTAGCCAACCTGTTCTTTCTGCAATTTACATTACTCTATGGAGAAATCTTTAAGGAAATTTAAAGCTAGTGTGACTTCTAGTTTCCTGTTCCTGAAACATATCATTGTATCTATATTCCTTCTGGTTTTCACTGTGCCATCTTCCCCTCTGTTGTACGTTATCTTTGTCACTTTCACCCACATTCTTTACAAATTCCTATTGATTTGTCTTCACTGTTTCTCACCCATGAGGTTTCTCTTTATTCAATCCCCATACTCCACTTCAATCTGAGTCTCAGCTGGGCCCACAATATTATGCAGTTCTATTGAGATCAAACAATTGAAATGTTCCAAGAGATGCATTTTCTCACTTTAACAGAGGTATTCCTCATTAAACTCAATTAATTTCCATGCACTACATTTTGTCCAGCACTCTGCTTTTCAAATGTAACTAAAGCATTTTCAGGTTGACCACTAGCCTCAGACTTGCTAGCAGACATTTGACATCAATGTTCACTAAATGTCTTGAACCACAAAATTTGCCAAACCGCATTGTCTTGAGCACTTAGCAGGCTTCTGTGGTGATAGCAAAGCATTCTACAGAGTTTCACTGTATCCATACAGCTACATACAGCCACAGAGCATCTTCCATCTGCATTTTAGTTTGCAGCTGTCCCAATGTCTGGTGGTCCTGGCAAACATGCACGTCTTTAAATTTCCTGGGACTGCACTATGGCTTTGGTTGGTTTCTTGCTCTTCCAATGTCTCACTGTAACTTTCCTCTTCTACCACTAACAAACTGCAGGCACTTGTTCATCACGCTCCTTCCAACCATATAGGCTTGGTATGGCCCCAATCCTCTTCTCACTTTACATTCACACTAGGAATAACAAGAGGCTGCTAAAAGAACTGCCAATCTTTTTGCCTTCCCCATAGGCAGTCTAGCACTGGTGAGGTTGCTGCAAATAGTGCCCCATGTCAGCTGTGGACTAGAATTTAGCTGAGCCACCTAAATTTTTCGCAGTTCTGCCAACTAGGTAGAAAAGCATCAAATTAAGTTTTCAAACACTCAGTAAGAATTCCAATTGGGATCAGGACCAAGATACATGTGCCTTAAATTTTAGTCACACATTCAATGCTAAAACTCTTAAAAAAACTCCCCTGTTCTACATGTTTAATGCTGACCACAGGTAAGGCAGGTAATGGGTAAGCGTGAGCTACTTAAGAACAACATCTCATCTCATTTCTGATTTTCCATCTGCCATAAAGGTGCACTTTGAAATGCGAAACAAGCGATGATGCAGTTGGGAGGAGGTGAACAGTGCTATATGCCACAGAAACAGTGAGGTGTAACATTTTACAGTATCCAGTAGCACAAGATGAAATAGCTGTTAAATAACAGGCAGTCTCTGCCAGGAAGAAAGCCAGATAATGCTGCTGCATGGAAAACTGAAAGAAGTGGTATGAAAGTGTACTTGAAACAGACAGAAGAATCACAGCATTGAAAGCTAGTACTGTACCCAGGTTGACCAAGGAATTTTAGTAAAATCCCAACTTTTTCCTCTCAACGACGTAGATCTCAGCAGGTATCCACAAACTCAAAATCACTATAGTCACATCAATCCTCATGAGCGAATGAGATCCCTGGAAAATTCTTCCACTGTAAAACCCCGGAGTCACTTTTCACGCAACACGTATCAAAGTGTTCCCCTAAGCTTTCTAACACTGTCTGTCATCTTATGCATCACAAGTGAGATGAAAAGAGTTTCTCAGAGCATGCAGCCTGACCAATCTTGCAGTTGACAAGCTTGCAGAGCCACAATAGAAGGGAACTTGTTTTTCTCCCTCAGTGAATATCCTCAGCCATAAGATAGACTACAGTGTTAAATCTCAGATCTACCCAGAAAGCAAGAAGATAGGAAAGAAATGCAAATGCATCCAAAACTGTGGTCCAACCATTTCATCTATCAAATAACTACCTTATAAATATACTCATTTCAAAACTGAAGACTTAAAGACTTAACTTTAAAGTTAAGATCTTTATTTACCCACTGTCACCAGAGAAGAAGCAATCCCTTCACCAGAAATCGAACTAAAATTGTTACTGTAATATATCAAGCATTCCTTGTTCTTCAAAAACAAAGCTGCTGCACATAAATGACATGGCTTGTCAGCTACGTAGGGGCACAATGTATTTTAGTAGCTTGCGGGTGTTCAAATTTTCCACCTCACAGCACTGAATTTAATTACATAACAATGAACTTCTGCCCTTACATAACTTGCTGGCCTGAAGTTGCTGCAGCTATCTGCTGGGTATAATAAAATTTTATAAATGGTTTCTAAAAGTCAGAATGTGTCTTATAACAGTACCAGACCTTAGAAAATAGAGGTCTTGAATTTTGCCACATCAGTATGGAAAAGGAAAAAATAAAAAGAGGGAGAATCTTTGAGGAAAGCTGTGCTTGCTGATGCAGGCCAAACTACTGGGAACAGCTACCTCATGTACCGTTGAGATAAACAATTCATTTTTATCATTTTCCAAGTTTTGCAGTATCTTAAACAAGAACAGACTATTTTCCTGAAACCTGTACAGTTAAGTTTCAGATTGAGCTTACTTTTTTTTTTAATCTGCATGAAAAAGAGAAGAAAATGGAAAAAAGCCTCTTATGTTTTCAATATTACTTAAAAGCAGAAGTATGCATAAAAAGCTTTTACTCTCCTTTACTAACTCATTATAGTATTAGAAATACTGAAAGACTAAAATGAATACCTTACCTTTTGGTCATATTTACATATGTATATGCATTAGTGGAAAATCAAAAACTTATAGGAATCAGAATGTAACATGTGACTTTTACAGATCCACTCAGGAAAATCCTATAACTAATATAATTTATGAAGTCATAGTCAGCACAGGCCAGAAGAGCAAAGCCTGTAACTGATACATTAAAGTTTGCAGCAATACAAATACGTGGTTAACCTGAAAGAACGCTGACATTTAACCACTTAGCAATCATATCTCAAAAGCAGCTTGATTTGACTTTGTGTTTCCAAAAGAAAAAAAAGCCAAAACCAATTCATAGTGCTTTTAAGCTGTTAATCCAGAATTATTTCCGCGCTTATTGCTTAATATAATAAAATTAGCTAGAATTGCTCTAATCTGCAACTAAGGAAAAAATCCTGAAATCTTCTCAGGAAACAAAAATTTGTTCTACACCGTTAAGTGCACTCATGCAGAAAGATAACAATGTCATCTTGATGCTTACCCAATCATTGTGTTTTCTTTAATCTGGCCCTCTGTGCCATTTACCATTGGCTCTTGATTTCTGTTTTCCTTCTCTGAAGCATCACTTGAGAGGCCCAATAAAGCTCGTACTCGTTTTGACTTCACATCCAATATCGTGTCAGTGTAGCCCACTTCTTGTAGATATCTGTAGGAACAGAACTCATGCTAATCTTCTATGCACATCCCTCTTACCCAAAACAGTAAATGAAAACTTCTCCATAACTCATCTTCAACCCCTTTGCTAAGCAAAGTACGGTGCTGTGCTAATGAAACATGCTTATAAATCATCCTGTACCAGCTGCAGAGGGATCGCCTCTTGCAGTACCAGCCTCTACAGTCACTGAGAAAAAAAAACCCCACAAAAATAATCAAAGAGCCTAGCAGTCAGAGGTTATACAATACGTTATTCATTCATTTACTAAAATGGGTGGAAAAGCACTTTCTATTAAAATATTTACAACTGGTTTATAAAAATCATCGCAGTTGCATGTACAACATAGCCATTTTATTTAATACATGGAAACTACACATGAAGCCTTACAAGAAGTATCCTTACACAAGCATTATTAAAAGCCTAGAAAATAGAGGGAATCAACAAATGCTGTAGCTGTAACTACTAGTAAGAGTTATTTATACACACTACATTTGATAAAATCTTTGCCTTGCCTTTTCCTTATTCTGCAATGGATCTGCAAAATACTGTCGTGCATGTAAGGGCTGGGGATCAAGAATCCTGGAAAAAGGTTTCTGTGCTTTCTCTTTTCCTCTAGAATACAGAGTTAATAGCACTGCCTTCTAAGAAGCACTGGATTGATTAAATGGTCAATATTCCAGAGAACTCAAAAGAGGGGAAATGCTATTTTAGAATAACAGCTGTTACAAATCAAGGACATGCACTTTTCCTGCAAGAACATTCTCCTCCAATTACTTAACAATATCCTCTACATAACCACATTAGGAGAGAAATACTGACTGTTGGCTATATAAAAATCAAACAAGTCACCTATGCAAAACAGAATCCATTGGCAATATTCACTCTATATTCAGCAGTGTATCACTTATTAATTGTGCTGAGGAGTGACTTGTCTTCAAAATAATTGATCAAAGTGAAGTCCACTCTATTTATACAGTATTTATATTAATAAAATATTTAAACATTAAT